GTCTCCAGAAACTGCGCAGGGCCCTCTAATAGCCTAGGTCTTGAAAGGAATGGCGCCCCCCACCCCACCCTTTAGCCAGCCTGGTGGTAACTCAAGGCCCAGGACTGTGGAGTCTTGGGGGTGGACAAGGCTTACTTCCTTCTCCCCTGAGAATATGGGGGTGGGGTGCACAGTCTAGGCTTTTGGGATGCACAATTTTTTTCAGTCTGTCAGGGAGAGCTAGGTACCTATTTTCTTTATACGGGGTTGCCCATGCCACTGTAAAAGGTTCACAATAACACCCTGTTCTATGGCACAGCAAAAAACGCAAATAATAATATAGCTTTTCAGAGGTGTATCCCCTCCTCCAGGGACATGCTTCTCCAAAGTGACCCGAATTAGCCCAAACCCCATTTACAACCAAACTGCCTTTTTGGGCTTGGAATCCAAGAATGGTCTCATCCTAACCACTAGCTCTAGGGCCAGTGGCTCATACCTGTAATCCTAGCTACTCAGGAGACTGAAATCTGAAAAGTTCAGTTCAACGCCAGCCTAGGCAAGAAAGTCAGTGGAGTTGTGGCTCAAGTGTCAAGAGCACTAGCCTTGAGTAGAACACTAAAGGAGCGTGCCCAGGCCCTGAGTTCAAGTTTGCTCTACTCTTGAGCACAGACCTCATCCCAGATTCATCTTTTGACTATAATGTCAACTACCACCTATGCATGCTCCAGCCCTGTTACTCTCTCTCAGAGTAAGTCAACAGGGGGCAGGAACTTCTTTATGGTTGGGCCGCAGGATCCCACAGCATAAGCACGCTGGAGGAAATGGACCTGTGTGCTCCTTGACTGGTGGTGGAGCAAGTGTTCTGAAAAGCTGGTCTAGCACTGAGACAAAGGAAGTTGAAAAGTGGGCTCAAAGATGAAGCAGAGGGTCTGGGAAGGTGGCTCAGGGGTAGAGCGCTTGCATTGCATGCATGAGGCCCTGGGTTCAATTCCTTAGCACCACATAAGCAGAGAAAGCCAGATGTGGCTCTGTGTCTCAAGTGGTAGAGCACTAGCCTTGAGCTGAAGAGCTGAGGGACAGCACCCAGGCCCAGAGTTCAGGCCCCACGACCGAACCACCCCCCCCCCCCCGCCAAAAAAAAAAAAGATGAAATAGAGATGCCATAGTTTGACTCCTAGTAGAAGAATGCTATGGTTAGGTTTTAGCTTTTATGGGCTCTTCTACCTGAAGTGAGGCAGAAAGAAAGAAAGGTTAGAGATGGCAGCCATAATGGCTGTACCAAGTGGAGAGTCTATGGTGAGATAGAATTCCCAAATAATCCCAGGCTGGGGAACTGGGTAAGGGTGCTGTCTTTGCCTGTGGGGATTGAGAAGTCATTCATTAGTCCTTTGAGGAACCCACTAATTAATTCTCCCTGCTTTCTTATCTAGGCCATAAGTACAGAGACAGAGGCACCAAGGAAAGGAGGTAAGGCTTTACACCTTAAACACTTGCAGCTCCCAGAATGTCCAGATCATCGTGATTAATGCCCCAGTCTGGGGCTTCTGTTTTTTTTTTTGTCGGTCATGGGGCTTGAACTCTGGGCGTGGGCGCTGTCCCTCAGCTCTTCAGCTCAAGGCGAGCACTCTACCTCTTGAGCTACAGCGCCACTTCCGGTTTTCTGGTGGTTTATTGGAGATAGGAGTCTCACGGTCTCTCCTGCCCGGGCTGGCTTTGAACCGCGATCCTCAGATCTCAGCCTCCTGAGTAGCTAGGATTACAGGCGTGAGCCACCAGCGCCCGGCTGGGGCTTCTGTTGTGTGTCAGGCCAGAGGTGCGAATTCTACACACAAAAATGAACAAGATCATAGGCTGGTGGTTGTGAGGAGCCACAAAAGATTCCAGACTCCCATCACAGAGGAGGAGAGGGTACATTAGTACCTGTTCCCTTTACAGCAATGTCAAGGGTTCACAATATCCCCCCCATATACAGATTTCCTGACTCCCTCCAGACACCTCTCCCCCGCCATACTGTGAAGGAGCAAAGGAAAATAAATTAGGAGGTAGTGGGGACCAAAAGCCCAGACTATGGATTGCAGAATTGCATGAGTGCGGGGGCGAGGGTGATGACATCATATCCACTGAAGAGGCTGCGCAGTTATGGCTGACGTCAGCGGAGCCTCCGAGCCGCCCGCGCACGCGCTCCTGCGTCAGAGGCCAGCGGGGGCGGCCGGGCCCGGCGGCCCGCGGGGCGGTGGAGCTCAGGGAGTGCATTTTCAGGCTTGGAGCGCCCTCTGCCTGCACCAGACGTGCCAGGTGGGCGAGTGGCCCCGGCTGTCTCCCAGACAGCTGCTTCTCCAGCTGCACACTTTCGCTAGTGTCTCAACACGTTTCTCATTCAGCTGGTGTCCTTTGTTTATTTCAGTACTTGTCACCCAACACACTACAGCTGATTGATGACATCGTCTATGTCTGCGAAACACCTTCCTCTAACCGCTCTCCAGAGCAGGATATTGTTTCCCACAGGTATCCAATATAACACATACCAGCAATATGGGAGAGCAAATGTCTGCTGGGTGCAGGTCTCTAGTCATCCCGGCGCCGAATCCATCTAGCCGGAACCCTCCCCACTTCTCCCCACCCATGGACCCTCTCCAAAGGTGGCTGGGAGCCGGAGCCGGAATGAAACTACAACCCCCAGAATGCTCTGCTCCCGGTCCTTGTCGCGCAGTCTTCTGGGAGTCGTAGTGTGCGCACGCGCGCTCGCCAAAACGGTGCCTCCCACAAGCCCCCGCGCCTTGTCCTCCCAGCCCTCAAGGCCGCCGTGTTGCTAGCGTCCGGTCTCCGGAATCCCGGTCCGCCGCCACCGCCGCTGCTGCCATGCTGCCCGCTGCACTGCTCCGCCGCCCAGGCCTGGGCCGCCTCGTCCGCCAGGCTCGTGCGTACGCTGAGGCCGCCGCCGCCCCGGCCCCCGCCGCAGGCCCCGGTCAGATGTCCTTCACCTTCGCCTCGCCTACTCAGGTTCGACCCCGCCGAGCCCCTTCCCTTACGGGCCGGGCCTGCGCACCCCGCGCCCAGGATCGAGGCTTCTCAGCTCGCGGGGTCGCTGCACTGGGTTCTTAGGCCGCGGTCCGGTACCCGATCCTCCTCAACCCCTTCCCGCCTCCGCGCCCGTCTTCGTGTGGTCCAGAAGCCGACTCAGCCCCGCGGGAACCTCTCCTTACCTTGCCCTCCTGCCTCCCGCCCTGCACCCTCTCTACCCTTCCCCCCCTCTGCCCCCCCTTCCCTCCGCTGGAGCCAGACTTGCTCCCGAAGCCGGACGCCTCTCATAGAGACGACCCCTTGCTAGCAACAGCTGACCTAAGGCCAAAACCAGCGCTGTGGATCACGTGTTGCCCCATTCCGGGACCCATTTCACAGCAGGAAAGACGAAGTCTTCTTGAACAAGGTTTGAGGGTTGCTAAGTAACAGTCTGATTTCCTCTCCAGGTGTTCTTCAACGAGGCCAACGTCCGGCAAGTGGATGTACCTACACTGACTGGTGCCTTCGGCATCTTGGCATCCCATGTGCCCACTCTGCAGGTCCTGCGGCCCGGGCTGGTGGTGGTTCATGCCGAAGATGGCACCACCACTAAGTACTTTGGTCAGTGTGCAGCGAACTGGAGGGGTGGGAGGGGTGTAGATTAAGTCCCCTCAGAACAACAGGCCTGGTTTCAGCTGAGACCTTGAGAAGAGGAAAGTTGGCAAGTGTAAGTAGCTTAGAGCTGGACACTGATGGAGTCACCTCGAAGGTGGCAAGAAGCACATAACTTGATCCTGAACTCAGCCTAGTTTGGCCAATGTGAGTCAGTGGGCGGTACAGAACTAGAAAGAAGTAGAAAGCTGCAGGGGAGAAGTGGTGTACAGGAGGGAGCCAATTTGAGGACCTACCCCTCACCCTTTTTTTTGTTGTTGTGGGGCCTGAACTTGGCCTGGGCATTGTCCCTCAGCTCTTCAGCTCAAGGCTAGCCCTCTACCATTTGAGCCACAGAGCCACTTCTGGCTTTCTGCTTATGTAGTGCTGAGGAATCGAACTCAGGGCTTCATGCATGCAAGGCAAGCACTCTACCACTGAGTCATATTCCTCTTGTTTTAAATACCCATCCTGGGGCTTGAACTCAGGGTCTGGGCTCTGTCCCTGAGCTCTTTTGTTCAAGGCTCACTATCTACCACTTTGAGCCACAGTTCTCTTCCAGTTTTCTGGAAGAGATAAGAGTCTCATGGACTTTCTTGCCCAGGCTGGCTTTGAACTTCGATCCTCAGATCTCAGCCTCCTGAGTAGCTAGGATTACAGGCATGAGCCACCAGTGCCCAGCTTAATTTTCTTTTTTTGGTCCAGTTGTGGGGCCTGAACTCTGGGCCTGAGCACTGTCCCTCAGCTCTTCAGCTCAAGGCTAGCGCTCTACCACTTGAGCCATAGCACCACTTCTGGCTTTTTTCTTTTTGCTTATGTGGTCTGAGGAATCGAACCTAGGGCCTCAGGCTTACAAGGCAAGCGCTCTACCACTGAACCACCTTCCCAGCTAATTTTCTTTTTTTAATTAACAGTACTGCAGATTAATCTCAGAGCTTATCAGCCTGCTAGGCAAACTGTTTTTTTGTTTTTTTTTTTGAGGGATCCGGTCGTGGGATCTGAACTCTGGGCCTAGGTGCTGTCCCTCAGCTCAGGACTAGCACTCTACCACTTGAGCCACAGCGCCACTTCCAGCTTTTTTCTTTTTGCTTTTGTGGTGCTGAGGAATTGAACCCAGGGCCTCATGCATGCAAGGCAAGTGCTCTACCACTGAGCCACCTTCCCAGCCCATAGGCAGACTTCTGTTTGAGACATGCTCCAGCCCTTTCTCTTTGTTTTATGGTTTATTTTAAATGAGAGTCCTCCCTTATATGAGAGTTATCACAGTTATTTGAACAGTCTACCACTGAGCTATACCATCAAGGCAATAATTACATATTTGAAAGGAGAAACAACAAGTTGTGAGTGAGCATCCAGACCCATCAAGTAAATTTTTTTTGGTGAATACTGAGACTTGAACTCAGGGCCTGGGCACAGTACCCTACCTTTTATCGCCCTAGGTTGATGCTTTACCACTTGTGTGCCACAGCTCTGCTTCTGGCTTTTTGGTGGTTAATTGGAGAAAGCAGTCTCATTGACTTTCCTGCCTGGGACTCTATAAAATAGTCTTCAGAGCCGGGCGCTGGTGGCTCACGCCTGTAATCCTAGCTACTCAGGAGGCTGAGATCTGAGGATCGCTGTTCAAAGCCAGCCTGGGCAGGAAAGACCGTGAGACTCCTATCTCCAATAAACCACCAGAAAACCGGAAGTGGCGCTGTAGCTCAAGTGGTAGAGCGCT